TTTTTGCTACTAACACTGAGATGTTGGCGCACACATCTCTAATCTGTGTGTTTCTGCACTCGGATCCTTAGCACCTATGTATGTCTATAAAGTCATCGGGTAGATTTCAATGGTAATGTTCATCACCTCTACTAATTAACATGATGTAAACTTTTATGCTTCCTCCTCAAATACAATACATTTTTTATTTGTTGATTTTTTTTCTGTGTGTGTATATATCACAAAGAACATTCCAAACCATCTTATTCAACTATACACCCATTTCCCAGATGGCACCGTCCCATAGCTTCCCTCCCCCCCACTAGAGCCCTTGTACTCTGTTGTTCCTGCTATGTCCGCTGTGCTGTCAGTGCCCCAGCCATTTCCCACTACTTGTCCATCTGGTGAATCTAGTCAGCCTATCTAGAGGTCTTTGTTTTAGGAAGGTCAGCTGTTCCTCATCTAGCAACAATCAGTTGTCAATATTCCTTTAGATAACATTGGGGTCTGCTGTTTATTTTCTCAGTTCTATGCTGAGTTACTATCTGGGAGTCACTTAGGCCACCCTGGACAACAACTCAAAAGAAGGCATCTCCTATCTGGCATTGTTGTTTGTGATGTAGCCTTTAGCTATATATATGGACTCTTAAAAAATTATATTGGCCCCTACAATCAGTTGTCAATATTCCTTTAGATAACATTGGGGTCTGCTGTTTATTTTCTCAGTTCTATGCTGAGTTACTATCTGGGAGTCACTTAGGCCACCCTGGACAACAACTCAAAAGAAGGCATCTCCTATCTGGCATTGTTGTTTGTGATGTAGCCTTTAGCTATATATATGGACTCTTAAAAAATTATATTGGCCCCTTTAATCTTTGGTTCTACTTTCTACTTTTGTGTTTAAGGCCATATAGTTGGCCCAGATAAACCAATTTATTTTTACTCTTAAGGTCGTTTGAGGATCTGTTCCTCAGGGGTCACATGGGCTTTGGAGGAGCCCCTGGCTCCTTTCTTTTACCAGTTCTGCCTATGTGAAGATAAGTCAAAGGTACTGCTCAAGCAGAAACTGTCCTTTAAGTCCCTCTGACTAGATTAGTATAGGCCTCAAAGTATGGCTGTTAAACATCCAATAAGATTAGTTCCACCAGCCTGATACTTTTAATTACAGTGTGTCATGTAGATAAATCTTGGTCAAAGACCAATTGCTCACAGATAAACCTTACCTAGACATATATTTCTTAATCTGGTATGTATAGTTTGTCAGTAGGTTGTTGAATTAATATGGTTCCCTCTGGTTTTTAAAACTAGCTAGGCATTATTTATCTCTCACATTGTCTAACCCTTCATCATGGTTTCCCCAATTAAGGTGCCCCCATTTTCCCCCTTCCTCCCTTAATAATACCCTTCTCCTATGGTCCTACCTCTCTTGA